GGTTCCCCTTTTGCCTATTTTAGCCATACCAATTTTGTTGCTGTACTACTTTTGCCTATTTTGGTTACACGTTCAATTCATTATCCATGAACTAGCTTATTGTTGTTTCAATTAGTATCAGCAGCAGCATTGGTTTTTGCACTTGAACATAGTTTTCATTTCTTCTCTAGCATAAATTTAGTCGTTCAGAAAATTAATATTGTTTTAGATTTCCACAAAAGAAAGCCTACAACTGTAGGCACGTAGGATGATATTGAAACTAACAATCATTCTTATTGGGATGCCATTGACTGGTAAAGGTTCGATGTGATTGAAACTGTGTTGGGTTAGTTGGGTAGCCTCCTGTTGTGACCGCTACAAACAAACAATCTTTATTTCAGACAATTGGAGTCAACATAAACATTGTTATCTTGATGTTCCACACCTATCTAGTGAAGCAAATGACATCTGTTCCCATGTTCATTTGCAGGATCATTGAAAATGAATTATTTAAGCAGGACTGGAGATCTAGGAAAAAGGTTCAAATATTTCAGTACGTTTTTCTCAAATGGGCTCTTGCTCTTCTTATTGGATTGAGCACAGCTCTTGTTGGCTTCTTCAATAACCTCGCGGTTGAAAATATTGCTGGTTTCAAGCTTCTGCTCACCAGCAATCTGATGCTCGCGGATAAGTAAGTCTAACATAGCATATGCTAGGTCCATATAAAATTCAATAAGTTTTCTGATTAATCTCAGGACATTTGGCCGTTGGGTGCAAGATTGACATTATCTCATTCTATCATTTACTATGTAACTTGTGGTTTCTAATAGCTTGCCCCTTAGATCATCCATAGTATTCTCTACCAGCCACTACAGATGGTGCTCTTGTTTATGCTGTGTGACATTATTTGATGATTGCTCTTTTTGGTAATGCAGTACATTTAACATGGATATGAACACAGCTTTAGTGGTTCTCAGGTTGAGCTGCATATTTATCTTTTATAGATGTCCTCTGTTTGATTGTGGGCAGAGGTGGAAGTGTAACATTTTTTAATTGGGTGGGAAACTTTTGAGACTACTTGCATGAATTACAAATTCACCAAGGGACATTAATCTTTCTAAGCCCTTGTTTGAGCCTCATTTTTTTTTTGTTGGGGGGAGGTGGGGAATGTATTTTTCAATAGTGATTTTTTGGAGAACGTGTGGTTAAAATGCTAGAAAAAATTTCGGTTTACATGTAAAATTACTTTATTGGAGAACGTGTGGTTGAAAATGAGTTTTGAAAAAATGGGGCTCAAACAAGGGCTAAATGAATAATTTCATCTTAAAAGAATTGAACTTATTAATGAATCTTTTCGAAAATATTTTCAAAATATTTTTGGAACGTTTTAAGCACCTTTAGAGGCCTTTATGGAGAATTAGTATGCGTTGATTTCTTATGCACTTTATGGTGTTATCATAATGTGATTGGTAATACAATAAAAGCATCTCGCCTGGACAGTATCCATACTCGGTTTATCTATTTTACCTTTCAAAATATGATCAAATATTGATTCCAGCACAGGTATTATCAGGCTTTTGCAGCATTTGCTGGTCTCAACATGATTTTGGCCATTTGTGCTGGAGTGCTATGTGCACTCATTGCCCCTGCAGCTGCTGGATCTGGCATACCTGAGGTGAAAGCCTATCTCAATGGTGTGGATGCTCATTCCATTTTGGCTCCAAGCACCTTATTAGTCAAGGTGGGTATAAATCTTCTGGTGATGCTCCCACTTCTTGTCTTCTGTATCTTACTTCCCAGTATACACATTTTCCTTGCCAAAGTTATTGAGTGGAAAACTGTGATATTTTCTGAGTGCATGAGAAGTTACATCTACACCATGTAGGGCCATTCAACAGTTTTCCCCTAAGCCTAAAACAAACTAAGAAGGGAACTTATGAAGAGTATCTGTTCATACATACACCTTTCTGGCATTGAAGGTTTCCATTTGAATTGGCACAAAATCTTAGTGAAAGTTGAAGAAGTGAATTGTTTGTGTAACTCTTCCTTCTTCCCTTCAAGAGTCATGATCACAAATCATCATATATTACGCCATAATTCAGGAATGGTGGTTTTTGAAAGAGTCTATTTTATGAAAGAGGAAAGTGGACCTTATTTCTGTACATCACAAAAAGTAATAAAGGGATCTTCAGAGATGGATGGTTAAATTAGTAGTAACCATGAAGAACAGGTTTATCGATAAACTATATCTAGAATGCATTTGCATAGGTTTTTAGCACTTATAAAGTAGTCAATTTGCCCATTGTATGGCATTACTTTCGTGTTCTGGCCTTCTGGGTAACAACTCAAAGTGTGGCTGCTACTATCTTGATGACATGACTATCAGTTAAGATGAAGGTGAGAAAGAATGTAAAACTGAAAGGTTCAGCATATTCCTTAAACAATGGATCTTGTATTTTTTTCCAATATGCCGTAGTAGAATAAAAGTTGCTGGTGTTCCATCGGGAAGTGAATTACCAATGATATCCAAAGCTGTTAAGCACAAGTCTTACTGTCAGACACGAATTATTTGAAGGATCAATGCTTTCAAAATATGGTTTTGCAGTTAATAATGCATTGTTATTCTTGTGGCATGCTCACCCCTGCAAACTTGTTGTAAATTGGAAGGTACTGATGTATTGCTCACTACTTCACTTTAATTCTAATACTTTTTCCATTATTAGATTTCTTTATTTATACTTGGCCAAAGTTGAGCAAATGTAACCACAGTGTCCTTTTGCATTTGAAAACAATTTGCTGCTGCACTCCTTTGAAA